TGAATAGATTTATAACTACGTCAAGAATAGAAATATTCCCTTCCTTCAAAAAATGTGTTTTCAAATCCTTGTAGTGTCCTCGAATTTATACGCATTGTTGAAAAATCGAATATATCTTAAATCAATAAACTAAATATATTCTAATTACTTTGAGTTGTTTGAACAAATATTTTGTCGCTGACGTCGTTTCAACTGTATTAAAACATATACTTTGAGTCCCGTTCAGACAGACAACCTCGCTTTTTCTGTCGAGTTTTGACACATATTTGTAAGGGTTTGTTGCTTATTACAGTCTATATATTTTTACAGCCAGGTTAGTAACCGATACTTAAGATATATTAAAAAAAATGTTCATAGCCTCCTTATTTGAGCTTCAGAAAATTTTAATTAAGCTTTGACTTTTTTTAAATAAAAAAATAATCATATTAATCCAAATACTTAATTTCAAATTTTTTGGCAGTAATCGACCCCGAATTTTACCAAAATATAATCTGCCATTAATAAAAATTAAGTCTTTCTGACTTGGTTTTTCATGAGAAATATTTTGATATACATTAGATATAAATAGAACCATTTGTTTATACAAATACGTAATTGTCCACGAAGTTCTTGGACAACCCACGTAATTTTGCCTTGAATTAATGTATTAATTTGCTTTTGTGAATTCAAGTTTGCTTTTAATCTTTATCAATTCTCATGTACAATTAATGAAAATAAAAATAAGATTCATGAAGCTAATGAAATATATATTATATACTGTAAAGCGAGAATATTTGGCGCACTACTAATTTTAGCGCAGTTTGAGCAAGAGCTACTGAGCGCTAAAATTTTTTTGTGCGCTAAAGGATTTCTAAATATCATTTTTGTGTGTGTTCAAAGCTTTAACATAAGTACATGTAAACCGGAATGCTCGATTACGTAATGTCGAAGGGTCATTGGATTTTATATACACACTAGCACTGCACATGTTATAATGAAGACAGAACGTTCCGCCAAATTTTAATTAAACTAAACTATTGTTACCCTAGTAGTTGTTACCCGATAATAATCATTAGCACTTTCAAAGTTTGGCTTCTCAGCGTGTCAATCATATATCGCCTCGAGGTAAACAATGCAATCAAGCATGGCGATTGGGCTTGCAGACAATATATTACCTGACTAGGATTACCGTTTTATCAAAGTAATTTTCTGTCGATGCATGCATTGTTTTAATATGATTTAAATGAGTAAATACTCCATTTCTTTTAATTGAAAATAAAAATAAAATAAAATTTTATCATTGTGCCACGTCCATGTGATAGCAACGCGTCTCGCGGTAAAGTTAACGAATGTTTACTGGTATGCGTTTTTATCCTGAGCTCATGAACAGATTTCATCCGGACCTTTTTTTTTTCTAAAATATTGCATCAATTTTAAGTTCTAACATTAAAAACGCATTCTTCAATGCAAATTGGAATAAATATACAATGAAAAAACTGCGATTAAATTCCATTTAAGTAGGATTGAGCCAGGAACTATATTTTGTGGTGGACGTTTCATTACCCCCCGTTCACACATAGACGCCGCTTCTACTACGATCAAAGCGTGTCCAAAAGCGTGGGCGATCGTGACAAATCGCAGGAGACACGTCGCGGTGTCGTCATAAGCGTAATATGATCGCAGTAGGGTCTTCATGATCGGAGAGCTCTACGCTCTCACCACGCTTATTTTGAACATGTTCAAAACAAGCGTAGCGGGATCGTGGCCAATAAGAATCGGGATGAAGTCGTAAAAAGAGCGTAGTAGAAGAGCCGTAATCGTACAAGCAGCGCGGAAGCATCGTAGAGAGATCTTCATGATCGTAGTAAAAGCGCCGTAAGAGCGTAGGAACTTACCAAAGACGCTTACCCCCCGTTCACACATAGACGCCGCTTCTACTACGATCAAAGCGTGGCCGAAAACGTGGCCGATCGTGACAAATCGCAGGAGAAACGTAGTGGAGTCTTCATAAGCGCAGTATGATTGCAGTAGCGTCTTAATGATCGGAGAGCTCTATGCTCTCGCCACGCTTATTTTGAACATGCTCAAAACAAACGTAGTGGGATCGTGGCCAACAAGAATTGGGGTAAAGTTGTTAAAAGTGCGTAGTAGAAGCGCTGTAATCGTACAAGCAGTGCGGAAGCATCATGGAAAGGTCTTTGTGATCGTAGTAAAAGCGCAGTGAAAGCGTAGTATAATCGGCAACCTATCAAGTACGCTCCTACAACGCTCACACTACGTTCTTACTACGTTCCCACTGCGATCTCTCTACGTTCCTGGCGACCCTTCTAAGACCTACAATGACGCCACGCCGATCATACCACGACCTCTCAGGCAGCTGGTTTTTTTTTAAGTTTGACCAAGCATCATCTGTCAATTACATGTATAGGGTGACGTAATAAGTGACGTTCATTTGCATTTGATACTTCGAACTTGCAACAGTAACAATATAAAATGCCCCGAAAACCGCGTGGGAGAGGCCGGGAAAAAGTTGCAAGTTCTGTGACTCAAGACCCCACAAATCCTGCTGAAGAAAATCCTGAAGCTGGGAATGAGCATGATGAACCTTCGACTGTTGAAGCTGGTGCTCTTCCCTCCACGGAAACGCCTCAGCCTGATGATCCCTCTGTTGAATTCAATGTAGAAGAAAGTAGTAATGTTCTTCAGCAAAAGCGCAGGAAAATGCAGGCAGACCTTACAGAGGACCAGGAGCAGACTATGGTTGAATGGCTCAGTGCACATCCAATCCTTTACAACAAAAAGCTAAAGGGGTATAAAGAAACCCAGAAGAAAGAATATCTCTGGAGGGAACAAGCTAATCTGCTTGGAAAAGACGTTGACATAATTAAAACCTGGTACAGTAGCATTCGAACAAGGTATGGGCGGCTGAAGAAAACGCGATCTGGTGCTTCCGATGAGGAATTAACAGAAAGGGACAGTTGGATTCTGCGTGAGTTTGGTTTCCTGCAGCCCCATATCATTGAAGTCAAAAAACGCACCGCTGTTAGTGTAAGTAGATAACTATTTAAACATTATAGGTTCGAAATAATGTCATATGCTTGTATGTTGATGCCTTTGGAACAAACGAATTTCCAAGCAAAAACTGAAGAGAAAAAATGGTTTAATAAGCATATACCACCCCCCCCCCCCACACACACTTTTTTTCCACCTCTACCTCTACCTCTACTATTGAAAATGTTCATTGAAAGGTTGGTTGCCCCCCCCCCCATTGTATACAAAAATTCTGGTACTGAAAGAACTTGGTATAGAAAAAAATTGGCCTCTAACCCCCCCCCCCCCCCAAAAAAAAAAAACGGTGTTTTTGTAATCCTTTTTATTTTATTTATCTATTTTATTTTTTTTGGCTTGTCAACTTTTTCAAATAAGTATTTTTTTTTTCTCTGGCTCCCCCCATTTCAAAAGTGATGCTATATACGTTGCTGTTTAATTACGTAGTAATTAAAAAGCCAACAATAGGACAACGCGATGTTTGTTAATTTTCATTACAGAAGAAAATGTTGATAATGTATCAATTCTTACTTATTTTCGTAACAGATGACGGCGAAGTTGGTCCCAACTAACCCCGAAGAGACTTTGACATCAGACTCTACTGAAGCCCAAGCTGATACTGCTTGTACAGACTCTCTTCACGTTAACGCCCTCGATGATTCCGCTACAACGGTATCCACTTCCACAAGTGTATCTTCAACATCAACGTACTCAAGAGCCTCCCGAACTCAAAACCGGTCCTCTGATGATCCAATCTTAGCAGACCTGGCAAGTAGTCGGGAACAGCTTATTAACTTGCAGCAAGAGTTGCTGGGTCGCATCAAGAATACACCTGAACCTAATGAGCGTGATGCCTTCATGGAGTGGGTTAAGAAAGCCGTGGCAGGCCTAAATAAGTCTCTTTGGCGCCGCTTCCAGACTGACGTTCAACAACTGGTGAGCCGCTATATTGACATGCAGGAGAAGCAGCAACAACAGATCCAGCCAAGACATGATCTTTCCTCAAACAAGGATAGTGATTCCTGTTCCGTACAGTGGCAGCCTAATCCCACACAATGGCCATCCCAAGTCGTCAATACAACGTCTGTGTGGGGATCTCAGGAACGTGCTTGGGTGCAGAAGCAGCAGTTTCAGCAGCAAGACAAGCAAGCAGGTACCCCTCCCGTTAGTAGACCTTCACAAGAGGGATCAAGTGTGGTGTTCGCAGGCCTAAGCTCTCTTTTAGAAATGGATGACGGACAACATGAACGCCAGCAGCAGTAAACGCTAATCAATACAATACATAGAAGACACATGCAGTTCTAGCAATATCACTTTATTTTTAAATTTGCAGCAGTCTAACTTCTAAAAGTTATTTTGAAGTCGTGTCAGACATGCAGGTAATTGACATTAGTAGTTCATTTTGATTTTAAAATCAGATCAGTTAGATTTGTGATGTACCCTGTTTATATGTACAATTTTGTGCATTTATTTAGTTTTACCTCGTGCATGTTAGCTTCTTGTCTCCAGGCACCGGGCTCCGTATTGTGATTATCATCTTCCTGGTCAAGTTGGGCATTTTGTAAAGCCGGGTAGCGCAATCTCATTTGGTTATGAAGGCAAACACAACACTCAATGATGTCTTGTATCACTGCTGGGAATTGCTGCATGATTGTAAGTAATACCTGCCATCTTTGTGCCAAAATACCAAAAGCATTTTCAATCACACGGCGACCCCTTGATATTCTGTAGTTTGTGATTAAGTGCTCTCTAGTTAGACCCCTTTGCGAATAAGGCTTCATCAAATATGTCCTCAACCCAAATGCATCATCTCCCAGAATAAAGTAGGGCATCGGCTCGTTGTCATGAGGAAGTGGGTCTGGCACTGGAAATCCAATTGCTCTGTCTTCGAGGCACTTCTTCAACTCAGATTCGTTAAAAATTTGAGCATCAGACATTGAACCAAGACCTCCGCAGTCAATCCATAGAAATTTTTAATCAGCATCTACCAGTGCTAGTAGCACTACGGAAAAGAAGTGCTTGTAATTGTGGTAAAGCGAGCCACTGTTCGGGGGACATCTAATGGCCACGTGTTTGCCATCCAGGGCCCCGCATGCATGTGGGACATTCCATCTGTTCTTGAACTCGTCTGCTATGAGAGACCATTCATCTGGAGTTGTTGGACATTTTATTACTTTGTCTTTAAATTCTGCACAAATAGCCTGGCAGACCTCAGGAATGAGACACGCTATCGTATTCTTAGGCACTCTGAAGTTATACATTAAACTAGGGTACTTATCTCCTGAAGCGAGATGTCTGATAGTAATAGCAAGCTTGACACCTGGTTCAAGCGCTTTCCTCCAGCCTGTATCTTTCTTCTGAATCCTGAGCCCAACTCTCTGGAGCAGATCATCAAACATCGCTGGTTCCATCCTCAAAAAGTTGAAGAAAGAATTGGTGTCTTCCATTCTGAGTTCTCGCAGAAGTGTGTCATACTGTCCAAACTGGAGCCTCCTATCTGCAGATAGCCATGGCCGTACCCAGTATCTCCTTGGCCTTCTTCTGCGCCTCAACCTGTAAACTATCTGTTCAATTTCAAGTTCCACTAACATTTGTTGTTGCTGAAGTAAAGCCATATGAATCAGATTAGCATTCATATGTCCGTTCATGTCTGAAGTTTGGACAGAAGAGAACAATATGTTTTAAACCCAAGATATAAATACATCATCGCCTAAATCGTACTAGAAGCGTATTACAATCGTAGTATGACCGGCACCACCGTAGCGATATCGTCGTACAGTCGTCTAGGTCTGTGTAGCGTCGTAGTATGATCTTGAATATCGTAGTGGTATCGTAGCATAAACGCAGTAAACACGGCTGCTGGTCGGCAACGGTCTTCGTAACATCGTAGAAGAAGCGTGTTACCAGCGTGTTTGACGTAGGAGCATCGTAGTACGGTCGTAATGAAGACCATAATTTGCCAAATTGCTCTGTTTAGACGCCGATCGGCTACGATCTGCACCGATCTTAAACTTTTTAAGATCGTGGCTTGATCGGGATGATCGCCGTAGAGTCGCAGCTCTGTGTGAACGGGGGGTTATACAACGCTCCCTCTGCGTTCGTACTACGTTCTCACTACAATCTCTCTACGCTCCTGAGGATCCTACAAAGACCTACTATGACCTTACGCCGATCATATCACGACCTATCGGACAGGAGTTTGTTCTTATAGCGCTGATATTTGACCAATCATCATCTGTAAACTACATATAAATGGGGACACTATACTTGAGGATCATTTACCATTGAGCATTTTCACATCTTATTACAGTTATAATTGAAATTGTCCTTAAACCATGTGGTAAAGGCCCAAAACAAACTGTGGTCGTAAGATATGCATCATCGCTAAAATCGTACTACAAAAATCTGCGGTTGCAAGATATATTTTCATCACCGCCAAAATCATAGTAGAAGCGTAATGCAAACGTAATATGATCGGCACCACCGTAGAGACATCGCAGTATAGTCATCTAGGACTGTGTATCGTCGTAGTATGGTCTTCAATGTCGTAGTGGCAGCGTAGCGTAAACGCAGTAAACACGGCTGCTTGTCGGCAACGGTCTGCGTAACATCGTAGAAGAAGCGTGTTAGCAGCGCGTTTGACGTAGGGACATCGTAGTACGGTCGTAACGAAGACCATAATTTGCCAAATTGCTCTATTTAGACGCCGTTCGGCTGCGATCTGCCCCGATCCAAAACAAATTCAGATCGTGGCTTGATCGTGATGATCGCCGTAGAGTCGCAGCTCTGTGTGAACGGGGGGTTAGAAGAAACTGATCAATATATCCCTTTTTTACTACAGTTGTATACACAGTACTGTTAATTTCAGATTCCTATTTTCCATGCTGGTTGCACACAAAGCTGTTTTTGCACAAATGATATCCTGGTTCTGAAACATCTATCAAATCATTTCTTATGAATATTGTAAATACATGTAAATACATGAACATTCTAAAAGTTCAGGAAAAAAATGAGCCAATTTCAACACAAAAAATTTATTTTAAGTAATATTTAAAACATTACGTCATATACCCCCTTTTTGATGATTACAATTTAAAAATAATTTTCTTGCTTATCAAAGGAAGAATCACAAATCTGAGAGTGCTGGAAGATCAAATCATTAATTATGTGAAGCAATTTGGAACTTTTTCTTAGTAACCATTTTAAAGTGTGTTCCTATACTTTATCTTAGTCCATGTTTTATTCGGATAAAAATAATGGAGGGAAAACGTTGAAGAAGTAGTTTATGATTAAAACACAAAAATTAGTGCAAGTAAGTCCAATTAAGTGTACTGTAGCGCCAAAAGAAGCATATTAGCCACATTTTGTAATTTGATTTTTTATTTAGCTTTTTGAGTATAAATTAGAAATATACTTGACAAAAAGTTTTACCTTAGATATCAGGAACCAACCTCGGTAAAAATAAAACATAATGTAAAGAATATAAGAACATAAAATAATAAATACGTAAATACATAAAGATATATATTCATGTAAAAGACAGTACAATAAATCAAAACAAATGAATAATATTATGAATTCAATATATTAAAAAAAACGCTTATTGCTGCTTGAATTTACATTTTTTCTTGTTTTGTCTTAAGCGTATCGGCGACCGGTATATGTACCAGTATTTCATTTATTGTATTCAACTTCAGTCCAGTAAGTTTTTTTTTTAATTTATATAAAGATATAAGCCAAACTAAATGCAAAATGAAGTGCTTTGAATCTGATTTCATGGACTTTCCCCTGATATGGTAACACTCAGTTAATGATACACATCATGAACAGAGTGAACCAGTATGAGGAATGCATTGGTGTTTTGAGAGAGTACTCATGATGGGTGTGTTTGTGAAAGTGAGGAAGAGTGGGTGTACATGCGTTTGTGTGGTTGTACCTCCGGGCTCTTACCCAAGAGGTGTATTTTATTGTATATATGCCATTTTTCAACGCGGGGAATCATTCATGTGGAATTACGTTGTGGCTGGTTGTAGAACTCAGAACTCAATCAAACTGCTCTTACAACCGAAATAGTCCGCGTACATCGGAACGTGTCCTTAACATAGTTAAGTTTAGGCTCCTGTTGACAATTTAAGTACACAACCCAACGGAAAATGCCTCGATAGGGAGGTACTTTCGAAACAAGATTCAGTGCACTCCACAAGGCGTTACTTGATGAGTCCTATATAAACCCCTGAAGAATTAAATTAAAGTAATGCGCTGTGTTATTCTTATATGCATAATTTCTTTTCATTTAAGTAATCGTTCACTAAAAAGAAACCGTTTTCACATCAGAAAATTAACAGAAATATTTGTTGCATAATTGTTTCATTTGAATTGAATAAAGAATTTACAACAATGAAGTGAAATGCATTCATAGATCTCAAAAACTTTGTTATTAGGTACGCCTTAATGGAGACATGTTTACTTTCATTTTAATATTGAATTTTAAAATAGGTACTTTTTGGGCATCAAAATGATACATTGTTCTTACATTATACAAAAATGTCTTTAATACTCTGGTGATTTTGAAAAACTGATTTCAAAGGATAGAATTCTATATCAGGTCCTTAAAAAAGAGCTGTAATTGAGAGTAGCTTCCACTGAATTTTAAATTATCTACCAAAATGCACTCTTCTTTGCAGGTGAAAAAAATCTATTGCAATTTGAAATGCTATTCACAAGGATTTAAAAAGGTGAAAAAATAAACGATTGAAAGTTCTATGATATTTACAATGTTACAAAGCTTCAAACTGTGTGAAGTTCAGATGTTCAACAATTTAAGTAAAAACGAACGCTTTGTCATAAATTTATTAAGTTGATTCCTCAACGTATTTCAATATAAATTACCATTTCTTTTTTAATATTTGCATATCCACTGCTCTCTCTCACTATGAACAGATAGTCATCAATTGCGTTCATAGGGTTATTCAATGAACATGGCATTATGAATAGCAATAGCTCTGCTGGCATATTTTCCATGATGCGCTATATATTATTGCAAATTAAAAAAACTTACCAAAACTTACCAAAAGTGCATTTGTATATGTTTACGGCTTTTTTGAAACTATGTAAATTATTAAAAATGAAATTAAGATACTTCAGTTGTATTTGTTAAATAAGCAATTGTCATACAAATACATGAGACCTTTGTCACAATTTCCTATTGGTCGTTCTCAAAGATAATAGACATTTACTCCACTGTTATAATTAATACTTCTTTGTTTTTATATCAGTTCACATCCGGTAAAAAATTCTTGAAGTGTATTGAAAAATCGACAAGGTTTGGTGTAAACTTGTAAGATACCAGTCATTAAGGGTTAAGACCTATCATTTGCTTTTTTTTTCTATCTTTATTAGAATTTTTGTTTCTCTTATCAAAAAGGAAGAGTGGCAGATTTATTAAATCTGAGCTCTATAATATTTCATTAGTTATTTTAATTTAAAAGAAAGTCGGAGTTAGCTCTCTTGCAATTATCCTCAACATTTTCATAAGGAGAAGAATGATAATCAATATCTAGTTTATCGAATAAACAAAATAAAATTGTTTAGAGGGAGGGGTATATCAATTAAGAGCAGCTAACAGTAAGCAGCTAAATATGGTATAAGCAATTCCTTTCTCCTAAGTTTTGATATTCGACTTCAATATCTTACACAAGTATGCAAATTTGTCGCGGAAACTTGTTGCCAATGTTATATGAAAATTCTTTTTTTTTTTTAATAATTATAACGATATGTTATTATATTATAAAGCAATGCTAGTTATCATCTAATTATTGAATTTAGAGAAAAATATATATGAAAAAAATATTTTAAGAGAGGTTGCAATTCTATAGAAATAAATGCATATGTTCAACAAATAATTGATTATTGGAAGTATCAAAAGACTGTGACTGCGGCTTGAATAATGAAACGTTAACATATAAATTATTGCAATAAAATTGATCTTCGTAAAAATGAAAACAATTGACTACTACACATGCTCTTAAATGACTTGTTCGCTTAGAGATCAATTCAATAGGTAATTTTAACTTTATACTTTGGTTTACCGTTTTAAACTCCCAATACATATTTTGTGTACGGACTTTCCCTATTAAGAATTAAAGGTCCAAGCAGATTATCCTGTATAGAAATACCACTGGACATTTTCATAAAAGATTAATAATACACAATGGAATGTCCTCAACAATGGTTGGAAGAAAATAGCCACATAAACAAGTAATGAAATTTTATTGATTGAAAGAACTTGCAACGATAAGCAATTTATTCTAAAGAAATGCATCACCTCCAAAATGACCTGGGATTTTACGACATCTGACTCTGCTATGGATGAAAACTTATTTTTCCACATCTGACACGGCTATGGATGGTTCCGACTTATTTGATGATCTCTAAGGATCCGGGATCTTCGAATTAATGAATCTTTTTACCTCACAAATGGGTTTTGTGAAGCTGTGGATACGTTTAATTGGCTTTAGCAGTCATTGAACCTGAATCAATGCAGTAAATATGTAAGTATGTGAATTCATGATAAATATGTTTCATATAAAGAAAATCCGAATTCTTATTACTAAATTTTCTTTTTCATATAAGGACAGGATATACATATGTTCATCAATGTAAAAAAAACTTTAGATTGATTTTATTCTTGTCTTAAATGAAAAAATGGAATATCTTGACAAACAGTTAGGATAAATGTTATTAATGTACTTTTTAAAACTTTTAGATGCAGTAAACAGCATATACATGCATTCACATAAACATGTCACCGGACAACTTTCAAAAAAGAGGATTATTACCTTGGAATTTAATAGAAGGTAAGTTTTAATAGTTTAGATCATGAAAACACTACAAAAGAGTGAGTTCATTCTACATTTTTTTTAATCTAAAAAAATAGATTGAACTTTAAAGAGTCTTAATATGGCATGTAGACATTATTGTATTTATATAAGCTGTGTTATGAACTAATTATAAAAAAATATCTGATTATATATGCTTATTAAATAACTAATATTAATAATACGGTTATCACAGATAATGATTATATTTTATTTTGTTTAAATTCACTGTGATGTGAAATAAATAACAAACAAATAAAACATAATCCAAATAACTGATTTAATTACAGGTTATCTTTTCTCCTTGGAGTTAGGTTCCATCCACAATGAACTGGTGTCAGCATCGAAAAGCAGCTTTCCTATTTATAATTGGATTCTTATGCCTTGTCTTTATGAAGTACAGTTCATTCATTTTTGACAGAGATCTGGAACGTGATTTCAAATTTGTACGAAACGTCATCGTACCAAAAAATGTTTCATCAATTAATAGCACTTTACAACTAACCAAACCCACTCAAAAGTCAGAAACAAATGTAATTTTTTCAAAACTTTGGAAGCATTTGCGAAAGCCTCATACATACAGTCCTTTTCCAGAACCAGTAGACAAACATTACTCCCAAGCCAGTCAAGATCTAGCTGTGTATAACATATTTCGTAAGAAAGAAGGATTCTTTATTGAAATGGGAGCTTACGATGGTAAGGTTCATTCCAATACTTTGTGGTTGGAGAGAAAACATAATTGGACAGGATTATTGATAGAAGGAAACCCAGTATCATGTCCCTACATTGACCGCGTCAAACGCAACGCGTGGCGTCTGTGCGTATGCGTGGCACATAAAAATGAAACAACATTTATAGAAGGGGACGAATTAGGGGGTTCTGAAAAAGACATGGCGGACAGTCATGTCATTCAATTGAAAGGATACAAAAGGACCAAAGTACCTTGTTTTCAGTTAATTGACATTTTACAATTAATTGGTGTTTTCCACATTAATTACTTTTCGTTGGATGTTGAAGGAGGAGAAATAGCGGTGCTAAACAGCATGAGAGAGCAGTTAATTTCTAGACAAATAATTGTTGATGTATGGACCATTGAATATCGAGCTTGGGCAGGACCAAGATTTGATTGGGCTAAAGGAAAGGAAAATCTGGCAAATTATCGAGCCTTTTTCAAAGAGATAGGAGGATACGCCGAACACTCACAATTGGCTTACGAGTCACGTACGCTAGAAGATGGTCACTATCTTGATGTTGTATTTGTATATATAGAGACCTGGTGTAAAGGACACAGTTCACTTCCAAACGGCAAAACAGAATGTTCATCATTACCTCATTAAAGCATATCATGTGCATTACAATATTGTCAGTATTTTTCTTCTCTTCCAGAAAGAAAAAAACAAGATTTTTTTAACAAAATTTTATAAAATGTCTCCGAGTCTGACATAAATAAGATCTTGTATACCAAAGGGTCACCTACAGAAGTAAGACATACATCACACATTGCAATACAATCAGCAATCTTTGGCTGACTCCTTACAAAATTCGGATGTGATCAGTCGGGAATAAATGTCAAACCAATGCATTTTTTTCCGCTGGTACCGCCATCTAACTCATAGCAAAAAGTTTCCTATCTTGAATTTTGTTGCATTTTTTCTGCTTCTAAACTATCAAAGATGAAATAAAGTGTTTGGCATGCCACCGAGAAACTCGGATGTCAAAGAATGATATTTGGGTCACATGATTTTATTAGGAAAATGGGAGAACATCGTCCGAGATTGATGTGTGAGGCACAAGCCATCAGAGAAGATATCATTCCTCGTATTAAACATAACAGAACATCGTAGGGCATCGATCTTTTCAATTAAATAAAAAAAACAAAACTTTTACGTGGCACCTAGGAATATATTGTAATTATATCATTATAATATCAATTGATGTGTTTGCTTTTCTGAGAAGTAAAATATGTCTTGTCCTTTCTTCATTCATTTAACAATTTTACATTCCTCTGTTAACAGCGGCAAATTTTCTCTCATAAAGCATTTCAAAGATTAAGTAAAATATACATTCGCAATAGGTTGCTACAAAATCAGTTATCGGATAAAATTTCCCCAAACAAGGAACTGGATACGATATAAAGAACCATGTCATAACTGGATCTTTCAATGCAACCAGCTGTTCTTCAGTGGTGGAATAATGACCTTGTCAGCAAATACAATCTATCATTAAGTCCATGATGACCGTCTAATTGCCAAGCCATTGTTAAACAATTGTCTATGACTTTTTAATGTTTTGTCGGCCATGACAGAAGGAAGCATATGGGGGTGTGGTCGACAGGAGATGTTTGCTCCTCCATGGCACCTGATCCCACTTTTCATTTTTAGTGATTTGTGATTGCGCTGATATGGACTCTTTTGCTTGATTTCTGTTCTTTTTTTTTTTTTAATAAATGCAAAACCAGCAATAACCGTATAGTTTAATGTATTATTTACTTGAGTATTCATAGATTATTGATCATACAATGCCTCTTTTCAAGCACTAAATCCATAATTATTCTAAAAATATAAGCAGGATATTTCGAGACAAAACACCTTCAAGTATTTGCAATGTATCTTCGATGCTCAGATTGGAAAAATAATGACCAGAATTTAAAAAAAACTTGACGATTTTAATTATGGGTTCATTTACAGTAGTATTTAAAGCTTTTTGTACGTTTTATTGTTTTGAGCTTTTCTGATTCAAACTTACAAGTGAGCTATAAACTATGCTCAAAGAAAATAAAACTCAAACGTAGAGTAGGTGTTATTTTAAAAGTATCTGCAAAGCTTTTCAAAATAAGAATACCTTATTCCTTGGCCAAGCAAACCAAAGCTGTTTTCACATATATTTTCACAATTCATTATGGAATAATGACTCTTAATTTATAGAAATTAAGGATTTATTCGTAAACGTCAATGCAAACCAAGTTCTCAGAAATAAAACACAATTGAACTATTTCCTGTTCAAAGACAATGTTTCACGTAATGATTAAGATTAATTTTCATTATGGCTTTGAAAGTAATTTCACATTGATAATTTAAAGCCCAGTTTAAATTATATTAAAATTTTTCTGTCTTCTTTCAGCAGGTCTCTCTAGCTGCCTCTTTGTCTGTGTGCTAGTTTGTCTGTATATAGTGTACGTGTACATAATTTGGCGTATTTAAAATTTAGATTAATCTCTGGGTATGGAGCTGTTGTCGTAAAATTAAATTGGCGCTCTACACTTGTCTACACTTGTACGTTTAGTGTTTTGTATATATGTAAATGACTTCTTAGAGGTACTAATGAATTAACGCATTGCTGTCTGCGCCAAAGCCTAAAATATGAAGCCAGCTTTTTGAAGTACATATACAGTATGTGTTTGTTCAATATCTCTCTAGCCCTCTTTCTCACCAAGACTTCAGTAAATTTGAACACAATATATTAACAAAAATGTTCGCACAAAGGACAAAATGTGCAGATGCGTGAATGTACTTTTATCGTCTATTATGCAGGCTGGAAAATGACTCATTTGGGTACAAATTGTCGACGGTGACAAGGTTTTCAGGTTGACGACAATACGTAAATTGAAGATG